AAAAAAAAAAAAAAAAAAAAAAAAAGCTCAAGAGTGTGATGACTGTGTGGGCCAACTGGGACGGGAGTCATACAAGCGTTCTGGGAGAAGGGGAATGATTGATAGTTGACAATGGGTAAAAAAGAGTTGGAGCTCCAAGCCATTGCCCACCTCCCACCCTTAGGCTGACAGGTGCAGCCCAAGACTGCAGCTGGTTCCTAGCCGTGCTGCTGGCCACCCTAGGATTCTACAGCATGGCAGGTGTGGGAGCTGCGCTCCTCTTCCAACACTACACGCACCCCGCTGGCTGCCTGCTCAACAAGATGCTGATTAGTCTTCACCTTTGCTTCTGTGGCCTCCTCTCCTTCCTCTCCATCGCTCCTTGCATCCGCCTCAGTGGGTACATGCCCTAAAACATTCCAGATTTGGGGCCTGTAGTATAGCAAATTTCATTAGCCTCCCTAATCTCAATTATCTGATAAAAGAATCTCTCCTTCCCACAAGGGATAGGGAGACAAAAGTGCAGGTGGGAGCAGGAGTGGAGGAAATTACCACCCTGTAGACTAAAGCAATAATACCCCTTTCTCCCCAGAGCAACCTCGCTCTGGCCTTCTACAAGCCTCTGTCATCAGCTGCTATGTCATGTATCTGACTTTCTCTGCGCTGTCCAGCCGTCCTCCAGAGAGAGGTAAGGGATAATACCTGGACTACCCATGCTTAAGACCCTTTTTGCTCTTGCCAAATACCCAGCTCATTGTTCTTAACACCATACTCTTCTGTTGCCCCTTCCCAGTAATCCTTCAAGGACAGAATCACACCCTGTGCCTGCCTGGCCTGAGTAAAATGGAACCCCAAACACCAGATACCTCAATAGCAGTGTTGAGTGCTGGCATCATGTATGCTTGTGTACTTTTTGCTTGGTGCGTAAAGGTGTCAAGGGGAGAAGTGTGAGAGGAGGGAGGATGACCAGGACAGAGAGGGACGATCAAGAGAATGTCTGGGACCATGGTTTAAACTTTGAAGCAATACTAGAGTGAGAAAAGCTCCCCACAAACAGGGACACTAAGAATAGCACTTTGTCAGATGATCTGTATGAGATGAAGGGGGTGGGGGAAATGACTTGAGAATTTAAAATATATGCCAAGATTTTAGGTCCCTCACATGAATAGAATTCTAAATCTTTGGTGGAAAGGGGCACAGGGAACACAATAACCCTCCTGGGCGTTACCAATATGGATCAACTAGCAGTAAATGCCTTCAAACAGTACCTATTATTTGACTAGAGCAACCTGAGAACTCTCTTCTTTCTCAGCAATGAGGCTTCCTACCTGGCTGAGGTATTTGGACCCCTGTGGATTGTCAAGGTTTACAGCTATGAATTCCAGGTAAGCATTGAGAGCTCAATATCCCCAACACCCCTCTGCCCCCAACGCACAGACACACACACACCCTACCAACCTCCACCCAGAATGCTCAGATTCTAGCTGCTGTTACCTTTATTGAGTACCCACAATGTGCTAGGCACTGTGCTAGATACTTTACATACATTATCTTGTTTAATTTAATCCTCACAACAACCCTGTGAGGTAGGTATTTGCTCCATTTTACAAATGGAGAAATCGAGGCACAAGAGATTAAACATCTTACCAAAGTTCGCATAGTCAGTTATATGCTGGAGTTAGAATTTGAACCCAGGTGTGCCTCCACTTTTTACATGACGTCTTTTCAGGGGGAGTTTCCTAGATTAACACCCTCACCTTTTAAAGCCATTCCGAAACATGCTGCCTTCTGTTTTGCAGAAGCCCTCACTCTGTTTCTGCTGCCCTGAAACAGTGGAGGCAGAGGAAGGTGAGTGTCACATGAGGAGCCCTAACAATTGGTACATCTCTATGGAGTGCCAAAGAACCCTCGAGTAGCTGGGGGAGGAGGAAAGAGGTGTTTCAGCAGCACTGCTCTTAGCAGACCTTCCATCTCTCCAGGGCAAAGGACTGGAGCTGCCAGGCCAGTTGACCAAGAGACCCCTCCAGCTCCTCCAGTGCAAGCCCAGCATCTTTCCTACAGCTATTCTACCTTCCACTTCGTCTTTTTCCTTGCCTCACTCTACGTCATGGTTACCCTTACCAACTGGTTCAGGTAGGATGGAGGTGGGCCTGAGATACTCTCCTGAAAACATACATATTTTAGGGAAAGAACAATTCAAGGCCATTCCAGACCAAATGAATCTTCCATAATCTTTCATGGGAAGGTAGGATAGGTCTAAAAGTTAAGGCCCTGCAGGTTATCTAACTAGAGCCTTTGGTTCCACAGCTATGAAGGAGCAGAACTGGAAAAGACCTTCACAAAGGGTAGCTGGGCTACCTTCTGGGTCAAGGTTGCCTCCTGCTGGGCCTGTGTACTCCTCTACCTGGGGCTGCTACTGGCACCATTCTGTTGGTCCCCTACCCAGAACCCCCAGCCCCCTATGTTCAGGGGGCACTGCCATCGCATCAGTATTGCCAGATAAGAAACAGCCTCCAGTGTAGGTCCTTTTAAGAAACTGGGGTTTCCCTGAGGTTGTACTCCTAGTTTTGGCTCAGGGGAGTTGTCCAGCCCAGCTCAGTACCTCAAGGAACAATGGGGAGTTTTCTCCCTTCAGGCTGAAGTCAATACTAAGTCTGAATTGGAAGATGTGGTCATAAACTGCCCTGGGCAGAGGATCTGACTCACTGGAGCAACCATTATGTTTTCATCCCAGCTCAAGAGCCTAACTCACAAATCAGCAGCTCAGGAATCACTGCTGATCCCAGCAGACAGTGTGGCCACCAGTCCTTTCCTGGTGCTTGAGCTGGAGGTGGGGGCAGGGAAAGTCCAATAGGGACCGAAGACTTGGCTGTGCCCTTGGAGATAAAAAGAAAATAAGCAGTTCAGCCCTGGGCACAGGCATGTAAGAAGCCCAGAACCACAGAACAAACCAGGGCATAGGAAGAAAGGAGGAGCACAGAGGCTACCACAGGTTTTAATCCTGATCCTGAGGTCAAGGGAAGTGGGAAGACAAAAACTACCCTCATTCCATGAGGAATGACAGAAGAGAATGTGAACACTTGAGAGCAGCTGACCACAGGAAGTCGGTAAGCAGGATTTTTTCAACTTTCAAGCAGACGAACAAACTGAGGAAGAATGAGGAAGAGAGGCACAAACTTAGGTCTTGGAGCCTTCCCTCTTAGGCCCTCAACTCCATCCGTGGGATGGTGTTCAAAGTCTGGATGGAGAACAAAAATCACAGAAAAGAAGTCTCTATGGTTCTCAGAGGATTCCTCTACCACATATCTGGAGTACTTGTCTGGTTGTCATTGTATAATAAAGGCTTCTTCTGTGATGATTCACTTACTAAGTCTACATATCCACAATCTCTCAGGAGTCTGAAGAGCTCTCCCCTTTTGGTGGGAAAGGGCAGTCATTCCTCCATCCCCATCCCCCCAAATCCCCAGTCAGACCAGGCGCTCAAGGAATTACAAAGCTACTTTTAATACTTTGGGGTGAGCCCCACAGGAATAAAAAACACTGGGAAGGGGTAACCCCCTCACCCCCAGGAGTGGCCCAGGGGGAGAGAGGCTACCTGAGGGGAAGGAAGCACAAAAGGGACCCGCTGCAGACTCAGGGCAAAGGGAATGCCATCGGTGCTGGGACCTGTGAGCACTACAGGAGGAAACGCGAGCATGGTGGGACTGGCTCCAGGCACACAGGCAAGAGGGTTGGACACGAAGCCACAAAGCTACTTGGGTTCCTCCTTCTTCTCGTTTGCCTTTTTCTGCTTCTGCTGCATGATCTCCGAGTCCCTGGGGGTAGAGATGATGGGGCACTGGGAGGTACCAGAGGGCAAAAAGGACAAGATGCAGGGGGATGAAGGGCACAAAGGATAAGATGGAAATGGATGGGACAAAGTTCAGCGTGTGGCTGCTGTTTTCCCACCCTAGGAGAACAAGAGGAAGAGAGCTGAGGCTCAAAAGGCAATCAGTCTCCATCTGGCTGTTGCCCAAGGGGTCAGAAGTCTGGCCACACAGGCCCAAGGCTCTCTATTCTGTGCTGAGTAGTACCACACCCAGCAACGCTAGTGAGAAGGTTGGGAGAAGGGAGGAGAACCGAACAGCAAGGAGGGCCAAAGTACTGGGCTGTCATAACCACAACTGTATTTGAAATATGAAGCTCCCTGCCCTTGCCCTTAAGGTCAGACCCAGGGGCACTCAGAAATCAGACTGAGGGCAGGCACCCATCCCAGTCTCTTCCTGTAATGCTGTAAACTAACAATCTGGAGGGTGTGGAGGAAATAAAACCCTAGAGGTAGCAACGCACTCTGCCCCTCACACTCATCCAGATTCAAGCCCTGAGGTAGCTCTCTTTCCTACTACAACCCTTGGTCTAACCCAGGTCATCCCATCCCTTCCCCTCCCTGGGGCTACCTCTGCTTGCGGGCGGCAGCAGAAAGCCCGTCATCTCGGCGTTTTCCCTTAACCGAGTCGCTCTGCTTTTTCATATTCTTCTGGCGGGCGAGCTCACGCTGGTTACCGCCTAAGAAAAGAAGGTAAAAGGTGAGACCTGGGGGCCGCTCTGGCCACACACCAGCGACCCTTCTCCCCAACCCCGGACAGCTGGGAACCAGGCTGCTTGGGGGAGGGAGGGCAGGAAGCGAAGCTGCCACGGGCCAGGTCAAATTGCAGGTGGAGGGAAAACGTTCCCGAAGAGCCAGCAGCAGGCATGTTTTGAGTTCTGGGGCGGCGTGGGGGCCCAGACAGGTGTTGGGAAGTGTGTGAACGGTTTGGGTCTCTGTAGGGAATGGGCTGGATTGTGAAGTTGGGGCTCTGGGCCTATCACAGGGGCGCAGGGTTTCTCACACCGCGGAAGGTCGGGGAGGGCCTATGCCTTACGGGGAAGAGGTGGGGGGGCTCGTGAAGTGGCAGTAGGCAAAGGGCTTGATTTCCGGGCTGAGAGTGTAAGGGTGGCTACGGAGCGGTCCCAGAGAAAGGCCTCGCTCTGGAAGCTAAGGGGAGGTCCAGGCCGGCGATTTGGAGGTCGGGCATAGGATAAACGGAAAGAAAAGGACATGAGGAAGGGGTCTAGGTGCTCACGGGTCATGGCGACGGCAGCGGCTCCGGCCTGCCTCCGTTGCGTTCCCTCGTTCTGTCCGACGTTGCAGGCCCCGCCCCCTTCTCTCAACGAAACGAAGTCGACCCTTTCCTCCCCGCCCCTTCGCGCCCGGGCGCCGACCCCCATTGGGCAAAAGGAAGCACGTGCCGCCGCAGGCCCCGCTCGAGCCGGGGCGGAGGTTCGCAGGCGGAGCGCGTAGCGTGGGGCGGGGCTTCCCCAGCGAGGCGTTGGGCCAGGCAGGGAGAAACTAGGACGGGTCACGTGGGCTGGGTGGGGGTGGAGGGGTGCGGTTGGCGATGTGGCAGTCCCGCGGGCTCTAGCACGTGACCGGGCAGAGTGACCTCATGCGGGGACAGTTTGGGGTGCTGACAAACTCTCCCTGAAGGCACGCGGGGGAATGGAGGGAGGGGGTTCAGTCAGTTCTGTGTTATCAGGACTCTTCGATTAAACTTGGCCCTGTTACTTAGGACGTCCCCCAGCTGTTTATTTGGATGCGAGGTGTTCACAGCTCCCGTAAAATCATGTACAAATGCAGCTTGAGAAACGCCTGCCAACCTTGTCCCCTTCCAAGCCCCTCGAATACAGAAAATCGCAGCCACATCCGGTATGTTCTAAAAATCTGGTACTGCTCATTTCCCCACAGAAACTTTGAATGTGAAGATGCAGTAGCTTGGAAGTGTTGAAGGACTCCAAATTTCACAGACTGTGGAGTTGGATCAGGAGCTGAGATTAGGAAATGCACATACTATGTCCATTTTATCCTCTGGACATATTCCCATTGTACAATCCCCACCAGGCACCCTTAGTTTGTAAGAGATAGTTGAATATAACCAGAAGCTAAAACTAAACTCATTCCCATTCCCAGTCCGGTTAATCTGTCTACAAGACTCCCCATCAGACTTGAGGAATTCACTGGATAAAGGAGAAATGCTTAGAAAACATAACAGGAAAAAATTGGTTGTAAACTTGAGATTCTATCCAGCTAGTGCTCATAGCAGAACCAAGTTGAGGCTGGAACTTGAAACTGGCTGCCTCCTCAACATAGAGCTAATTGAAAGCAATAAACCTCAGTCAGGACCGTCCTCACGATTTCTTCCATACCCGTGAATCACTTGAACTACTGTCTATTAGTTAATATTTTGTACCAGTCTTAAATAAAGGATACAACTCAAACTTCATATTCCTATAGTAAATTTAAAATCAGTATCACTTGCCCACAGAAAGTAGCTGTAAAATAAGGCCAGGAGGTAGCTCATGTCTGTGTAATCCCAACACTTTGGGAGGCCAAGGCAGGAGTTGTGCTCAAGTGGAGTTCAAGACCAGCCTGGGCAATATAGCAAGAGCCCCCCTCTACAAAAAAAAAATTTTTTTTTAATTAGCTGGGCGTAGTGGCCTGTGCCTGCAGTTCCAGCTACTCAGGAGGCTGAGGCAAGAGGATCACCTGAGCCCAGGAATTTGAGGTTATAGGGAGCTGTGATTAGGCCACTGCACTCTAACATGGGAGACAATGCTAAAAACATGATTGATTAATTAATTAATCAAATACAAGGAAATTAAAGAGATTATTAAATTATACCAAAATAATGTCATTGTTCTGGCTGGGTATGGTGGCTCATGCCTGTAATCCTAGCACTCTGGGAGGCCAAGGTGGGAGGATTGTTTGAGCGTGGGAGTTTGAGACCAGCCTGAGCAAGAGCGAGACCCCATCTCTACTAAAAAAATAGAAAGAAATTAGCTGAACAACTAAAAATATATATAGAAAAAATTAGCCGGGCATGGTGGCGCATGCCTGTAGTACCAGCTACCCGGGAGGCTGAGGCAGTAGGATTGCTTGAGCCCAGGAGTTTGAGGTTGCTGTGAGTGAGGCTGATGCCACGGCACTCTAGCCCGGTCAACATAGTGAGACTCTGTCTCAAAATTAAAAAAAAAAGGGCCGGGCACAGTGGCTCACGCCTGTAATCCTAGCACTCTGGGAGGCCGAGGCGGGAGGATTGTTTGAGCTCAGGAGTTTAGAGACCAGCTCTGAGCAAGAGCGAGACCCCATCTCTATAAAAAATAAATAAATAAAAAATAATGTCATTGTTCAAAGGTGCTGAGTCTGGGACCTGACCTCTCTTAAAAAGAGAAATTAAGTGTTAGAGAGGTAATAAGGCATAAGTCTTCCAAACTGAAACTTTCTCTTGACATAATCAGAGTGTTGAAAAGCATTTTTCTCATTTTCAATGTTATTTAATGCTATATCTCTATACTAACTAAAAATCACTTTTTTTTTTTGGAGACAGGGCCTTGCTCTGTCACCTGGGCTGGAGTGCAGTGACACCATCATAGCTCACTGCAACCTCAAACTCCTGGGCTGAAGCAATCCTCCTTTATCAGCCTCCCGAGTAGCTGGGACTATAGGTATGTGCCACCATGTCCAGCTAATTTTTCTATTTTTTGTAGAGACAGGGTTGCTCTTGCTCAGGCTGGTCTCGAACTCCTGCCTTAGCCTCCCAAAGCATTAGGATTACAGGCATGAGCCTCTGCGCCTGGCCTAAAATTACTTTTCGTATCACCAGTGGCACCCAACCTTTAGTACATATGAAATGTACTAGATCAGCATTGCTGACACACATAACAATGTGTAAATACTGACTCTGCTACTTATTGAATTTGATTTTGGACACTTAATTTCTCCATGTTTCAATTATTTATATGGAAAATGGAAATAATATCTATTTTATATGTGTATATATTATATAATAATATCTCAGTGTTGTGGAAAGGATTAAAAAAGATAACTTGATAAAAAGGGCTTGGCCCATAATAGGCATTCAGTTAATGTCTCCTCTATCACCATTCTTCAAGTCCTAAAACTTCCTCTTCCTTTTCGAAATCTCTCTTCCCCTCTGTGATAGCCAGTCTTCAAGATGGCTCCTGATGATCCCTCCCTCCTGGTAGTCACTCTGTTGTGTAGCCCTCTCCCACACTTATTCAGGGTTTGTCTGTGTGACCGATAGAATATGGCAGAAGTGGTATGTCACTTCTAATGCTAAAGCATAAAAGACATTTGGCTTCTGCTTTGCTTTCTCTGTCTTGGATCTCTGGCTCTTGGGACAGCCAGTTGCCATGTCACGAGGAGAGAGAGGCCCATGTGATGAAGATCTGAGAACTCTAGTCAACAGCCACGGGAGAACTATGGCTTCTTGCTGATGCCACATGAGTTATCTTGGAAGTGGATCCTCCAGCCCCAGTCAAGTTCGTAGGTGACTGTAACCTCATGAGAGACCCTGTACCAGAACAACCCAATAAGCCTCTTCTGAATTCCTGACCCAC